ATCGCAGCCCCTGTTTTCCAAAGTTGCTAGTGTGGGGTGCACTATAAATTTTATACCCACGAATCTGTAGATTAGTTCTTGATGTCATATGCGTTTCAGAAACGAGGCATACATCAATTGTTTGAGTACGCAGAAAGACTTCAAATATTTCCTTTTTATTTGCGATTCCGTTGCAATTCCAAGTCGCTACCTTAAAATCCCTTTGCGGCATCATCTTTCCATTTTAGTTGTTTTTGTATTTTTATCAGAAGAAGAGTTATTGTTGTACAATTATCACAACCATGTTCTGTATCAGTACTCGCAAGGCCGCTAAAAAATTCTCATTGCCTCGCGTTGGTAATTTTTAGCACTAACTGGTTAGATATCGCTTTTCTTTTACTGAGTATCCTTATATGATACACCTTTGGACACAGTACTTCTAAGCGAAGGGCTTCGGGATTTGGCTAGAACGTCTCCTGAGCCACAAGACGTCTCTCATAGTTTGCTGGGAGGTACAGGCAATTTAAACATTTTGCAGCAGTACTTTTTGGTTTGGTGCACTACGCAGTAGGGTGTTTGCCTGCATACTTCACACATTTCGGTTCTTTTTGGTAAAATTTTTATGTATGTCAATCATAATCTTAACTTCATAGGATTGCTTATTTCATAGATTCTCTTTATGTTCTCCCCATCAGAGAAGGTCAGCATAAACAATGGTAAAGGAACCATGACATTTTTGCCGTTTTCCTTTACCTCTTTAACTTTATTTACTACGTCTAGAATTTTATAATTCCCAGATCGTAAGTCATCTTTTATATCTTCCGACTTGCATGTAGGATGAAGATTCCTTCAAATAATTTTGATTGGTCTGGTTTGCTTATTTTCATATGCATGCCATTTCAACCGTGATTCAGCCAGTATCACCTTGTAATATTCCTGTAATTCATCTAAGTATCTACAATAAGCTTTAATTGCTTATTGTTCATCATCCTGACTTTGTAGTTCATATTTTTATTTTTTAATACATTATTTCTATTTGATTGTAATCAACAACATTACTTATGATTACACGGGGTGGCTTGACATTCCTGGCAGTATCATTACCACCATTCGGATCAGAAACACGCGAACCTTCCATACTTTTCGTAGGTTGAACTGGTTGACCTTCATTGTTTTTGATGTGTAACTTCACTTTTTAAGGCCAAGTAAAGAGACTCTAATTCTGATATTCTTTTATGTATATCAGCCCCTTGATCAACATTTTCTTTGGCTAGAGCTTTAGTTATACTCGATCTTTGGTGTTTAGTGGACTCGGTATGTTCGATAGTGTACCTTTCACAGTTGAATTTTCCTACTTTTCGTTATACTGTTGAAGGATGAGAACGTCGAATCTTTGCGTTCCTCCTGGCCGTCCCCATAATCCATAGAGTCCACCTCCTAAAATGGTGAATTGTCTAATGTAATTGGATTGCACGTTTCCTTACCAACAGATACCTGCTCTCGTCAGTGTGTTATCAGGATACACCTGGCTGATAACTATTTTATCTACCTTCTGGAAAGTGAGAGCCGCGTTTGCTGTCACAGCTTATGATTAACTCAGAGGACATTTTCCAGCTTTTCCAGTATCACACGTTAGGAAAGTGAACTCACTGAGACCCATACAAACCTTTGTCTTCCTCAAAAGAAAAATAAAAATTGATACTAACTCAAATAAAATTAAAAGTAATAAAAACACTAACTTGATAGACCAAGTAATATTAACTTGATAGACCAATAATATTAACATCTTCATTTTCTTCTTTTTCAAAACGGCAGGTTCAAGTTCTTACTGATGGTAATTTTATTTTTGGGCATTCGAAAAGTGACTCTGTTACACTTCACAAAACACTGCATGATTTTAACAGTGAGATAAACTAATTTTTTTCCTAATCAAAGAAATACTTTCTTTCCGAAATTCGTGGCGTTGCCCACGTCTTCACTGCCATTGAAAGGTTTCTCTCACTTTTTGTCGCCTAATAAAATTTCTGCCGGTTATTGTAACCCATTATTTCCGCAGTTCCCTTTTCCCTTCCCATTGTTGTCAAACTCCATCTAGTTTATTTCTTTCCCGTATTACGGTACTGCTAACGGAACCACAAATGGATGTTATTATATTACTTATGACAATATTTGTGATAGTAATACGGGCATTAATAATAACAATAGTAATAATAGTAATAGTAATAATAACAATAATAATTTAAATAGTAATAATAACATAATAGAAATAAAAATAATAATAATAACAATAATAATAATAATAATATAATAATAAAAAAATAACAATAATAATAATAATGACAACAATAATAAAAATAATGAAAATGATAATATTAATGAGAATGCTAGTAATGCTAACAAAAATAATTACATTAATAATAAGAATAATAATAAAGGCCGGTCGAGCTGGCAACAGTATCAAAAATGGCCAATACCCAACTTTGTTCGGGGCGGTACTGTTAAGCCACAATTCCTGTTAACTCATTTGGTGAACCCTTTTCTCAAAAGCATTTCAACCCGGTCTTACCACCTATAGTCCGTATGACAAAAAAAGTCGTGTGAAACCGGCGATAATGTTTTACGTGCTATCACGCTTTAAGGATCGCCTCGTTTATGATAATATAAAACTTTTCCTTGCCTATTTGCACAATGCGGTTGACCATGTAAGTCATACATCCAACTAATCACGTTCTTGAAGAAATAATTGAATCTACTTCTAAGAATTTTAACGCATAAAAATAAACACAAATAAATTTCAATTAAACTGTAGTAGTTTTTTCTAATTATAATATTTCCACAATCTTACATTTTATTTTTTTTCCCAAATAACTAATGTGAAACCCAAAATTCATATTTCATAATATTTTCTTCTTTTTATTAATATTTAAAATAAAAATTTTTCACATAATATATTCAGTACTACGTGATATTTTTTAGTAGTACGAGAAGTACCGTATTGTAAACTATTAGAATTAAAGTCTTCTCATAAAAATTTCAAGTGCAACTAAAATTAGCTTTTCTTGTTATTATTATTATAAGTATTTTTTTTATTATCAAGTATAAGATTTGATTATTAGAATAGAGTTTTATAAAATTGTAAAATTTAGTTTAAGTTAATTTTTTGAAGAATTCGATTCGGAAAATAAATTTTATACAAATAAAATTTTGTGTTTCATTTTTGATATTTACAATTATTATATAATTGTAAAATAGCCTAAATGTTCTTATAGAGAGTCATGATCTTCCTGCGGATTACTCACAGTTGATGGACATTTGTAAAAGATATCATGAGAAGTTGTAGTCGTCCTAGGAGGTTGATAGGGATCTTGAATCTTTTCGTAACTACATGAAGAGTAAGTGGGTCGACCACCTGCAGCGGATGAGGGAATCCAACTACAGGTTTTTTCGTCCCTCAACTCACTTCAAATCTTGTTCAAAATGTTCATAATCCTGTAAAATCGTTTCGAAATAATCTGATTTCAGTTCACCCACCGGATGTTGGAAACATTCCAATAACTTTGGATAACATTTTAACGTATATTTTAAATTTTGTTCAATGGTTGAAAACATTTACAATTCTATTTGTTCGCAAGACGAGGTTTTCTTTTTTCGAGACTTTATCCATCCCAAAATAATGTGAACGGCACATAACGAGGCACCAATTTTGGTTCCAAAAAATTGTGGTGGTGAACTGGAGTTATGTTTTGTAGACTTTTGTTATGTTTTTACTTGAATAATTGACGGTATATCGTCAATTTTGAATTAGCATTCGAAGCAATTGGATTTGGTTTTTACTTCTGTATGATATAATTGCGTACTCATCATTCTGCCAAATCCATTGGTTAAAGTTGACACCTTGCATCCTTCGATTCCTTTTTCACATTATATCAACGATCAACCACGTACAAACGAGGCCCCTAATTACTGGTTTGATTTTAAAAGAACTAATTTTACAATGTTAAATGATTTCTTTTTTGCTTACTGATATTTAATATTACTGATATCGAACCAATGACCAAGTTTTATGAAATCAAATATTCTGCATTTGAATTGTTTATTCGAACTATAAGGGATAAGGATTAGGATTCTGATCCTCCATGGTTTTCTTAAGAACTGAGAAGATTAAGTAAAACTAATTTTGGAGCAAATATCTTTCTGCTAGAAGTGCTTCTGATTATGGCCTCTTTTAGGTTGCTTATGATAATTTCAAGTTAGTAGCTTAATATTTTAAGAATTTCTGACGAAATTATACATAATATTATAAATGTTTGAAAATTTATTAATCATAAGTGTAAATGTGATAGGTATCCGACATTTTTGAAATTTAAGGGATCTTCAAGTAATAAAAAAAATTGGAAAAAGTTGTTTTTGGAAAGTTATCGATGTGTAGAAAGTCATCCAAAATCACTGCAAAAGGGAGTAGAAGAGTACAATTCGGCGTCACATTGTATGCAACTTCCGGCAATAAAATTTCTTGACGTTAAAGGATAGGCAGCTCTTAAACTCAGTTTCCTTAATTGGGTAACATGAGTCACGAGCTAAATCAACTATTTTGTATTCCGATGATGTGTTGATAACCACAAAATCATTTTCATGAAGTGTTGGTATCGGAAAATTTGATATAATTCTGCTTGTAGCAACATAATTTTACATTCAAATATGAAGAGAAATTATGTTATTCGCCCTTGATTTGTCATTAATTGTATAGTTGCACAAGCTACAGTGTATTTTTAATTTCGGGAATGTAGTTACCTGGCCGAATATGACCTCTTATGATAGACAATTCTTAAAACTTTTCGAGAAATTGTTAGGCGGCGATTTGCGCTAACATTTATACAGAAGAACCACCAATACAGAGGCAATAATAAAAATTTTATTAAATGCCTCTTTCCAACCGCAATTATTATTTTCCCTTTTTTTTATATAGAATAATTATAAAAAAAAAAACAATTTCACTTTTTTCTTTCTTTGCAATTCATGTATTAACAATTTATTGAATTCATTAACAAGATTTACTTTTCTTTGACTATGACTTTATATAAACTAAGTATATATTTTCAATATAAAATTTAAATGTATAAGCTCGATGCGACGGTTTTTCTAACACTGCGTTTTTGATCTGGAATTTTCCATCCATTTATTATAGATATATTTATAGATCCAGAAAAGATTTATCCAAACGATTGTGCAATGGTGATACCATTCCAGTCCCACTTTTTTGGTTGATAACGTTTTCTTGTATATAAAACAGATAACGCAGTTCACTGAATTTAAAAATATAATGTAATTTTCTATACACTGGGCCGTGATTTGTTGTTGTAACCATTTTATATTATCATATACAATATTTCCCCTTTTCATATATTTTTCATTTCATTCGCCCGTTCTTTATACCCTGCACTTCGTGAAGGGTATATTAACTTTGATATGGAGTTTGTAACTACTTGAAAGAGTCGTCTCCGGTATGGACATATATATATATATTCTTGCTCAGCGTCAAATTCTGCGTTGATTTAGATATGTCCGTCCGTCCGTTCGTCCGTCCGTTCGATCGCACGATAACTCAAAACTTTCACAAGTTTTTTCTTTTGTGCCAAGGACGAACCCTATTGTAATTGGACTAATTCGGACAACGGGTTCGGGTAGCTGCCATACAACTCACAGAGTTTATTTTAAATATTTCAAAAAAATAATAAGAGATATCAATATAAAATTTTGTATACATGTGTCCAATTGGGGGACAAAAGTTGGCATGGGCCCTAGTCAGTCTCACATTTTCCTAACATGTGAGGCTGAAAATGCTAGGAAATGACCTCTGAAAACATCAGCTCTGCCAACAAATCCGACTCTCACCTCCTAGAAGGTAGGTAACATAGTTATCTGCCGGGTGTCTCCTGGGCAACTTACTTAGTAAGGCTGACGAGAGCGGGTGAAAGCGAGTACTCGGCGCTTAATCCGGGTTTCGTTGGTTAGGAAGCGCGCGGGCGGTAAATCCAGAAGCGTCTGACCTAGAATAGGCGGCTACCTGGTCTGCGTCTGATCCCTGAGGGTCGGCAGTTTTTGAATTCTGGCAGTAGGTATAAAATGCAGAATTTAATCATTTGTGCAATGGACAAAACAAAAGGTTTTAGTACCCCAGGTGGTAATTCAACTACGTTGGAGAATCCACCCTCTTCGGTTTCTGGGGAGAGCATTTGATTGATCCGTTCAGGAGGAACGCGAAAACCCGGCATTCACCACCTACATCTGATGTGCGGATTTTAGAAAAGAATAAAAATATAGAAGGTGGACTACCGAACATTCAAGCTCCACAAACCAATAAAGATATAAACATGAGTAAAGCGCAAGCCAAAAAAAGTGATGATCAGAATGCTGACATACATTAAAGGATTAGCCAACTAGAACAGCTCTGTGTGGCTTTGAAAAACAAGGAATCATCCCCGGAAATGGTTCAGGTGACGATCAACGCTGAGAAAGCTAAAAGTCGAGACAATGTCACGAAAAACTCTAGACCGCCTCCAGTAGTCATAAGTAATATGGTTGACTATAATCAAATAGAGTCAACATTGAAAAAAAGTCTGATGTGGTCAGCACATAACCGACCGCATTGTGTATTGTCTAGTTAAATGAAAGTGTTACAGAATATTATAAAAATATCTGTTAAATACTTCTTTCCAATTTTTAGGACTTTAGTAAGCTTATAGTTAAAATACCTAGAAAAATGTAAATTTGGCTCTTAGTAAAGTTTCGCTTTGTGCTACCCAAATTCCCTGAAATGCTCGCCAGTAAGTTTCGGTAACAACCAGAAATCAAATATCAAATTTCAAGAAATTCCATCAATTCGTTCCGTAGATATGGTGAAAAATGTAAAATCGGCCCGCAAATCAGTTTGCGGGCCCTGATCTTTCCAAAAAATTTATATGTTCATTGCTTTAGTATGAGGAATTCATATATTAAATTTCAATGAAATCGGTTGATTATTTCTCTTTATATTTACAAAAGTGTATGTTTGGCCCGTAGTAAACGTCTAGTTTCCGATGCCTGATCTTTCCAAAAAATTTACATGTTCATTGTTTTAATACGAGGAATTCAAATATTAAATTTCAATGAAGTTGATTGATTATTTCTCTTTATATACACAAAAATGTATATTTAGCCCGTAGTAAACGTCCAGTTGCCGATGCCTGATTTCTTCCAAAACATAGGAATTTTTGCGGACGGTCGAGCTGAGCTTATATATAAAATTTCAAGTAAATCGGATGAATATTTTCTTCAAAATGTTCAAAAATGTAAAACAGGCCCGCTAAAAAGTGCAGTTCCCGAGGCCTGATATATACCAAAAGTTGATCGATCCGTGCCATGGTGGAAATAAACATACATATAAAATTTCATCACACAGACCGACAGACCGACAGACCGACAGAGCGGCAGGTTACTAAAAATAGTTTATTTACACTTCCCTACTATGGAGAAGTGCATTCCCACCGAAAACTCGATATGCAAAATTTGTTGCCATCACATAACCTACCTATTCTTTACACAATACGGTCGGTAATAAGGACATCAATTATAAGGTTAAAATGATGAATAACAATCAATTTAAGCTTATTGTAAATTCCGAAATGGACTACAGGAATCTTACCAGAGCCATGAATGGATCTGGACTAGAATGGCATACCTATGAAAACAAGCAGGCCAGACCAATTAAACTCATGGTGAGAGGTCTTCACCCCACTTGTAAACCGGAAGATCTAAGCTCTAGGGGTTACAAGATCTTAAACATTATGGTGTCTCTACCGCTGTTTATGTTAACATTCTCAAATGAAGAAGAGATGAAAAAAATTTATGAAATCGATTACATAAACAGGATGAAAGTTAAGATAGAGGCACTTCGAAAGGACAGGACCATTCCGCAGTGTAAAAGGTGTCAAAGGTATGGGCATACACAAAAATTTTGCCAGAGAGTACCGAATTGTGTTAAATGTGCAGGCAGGCACTTAACATCAGATTGTAGTAAGCCAAAGAGTACTGCAGCAAAGTGTTCCAATTGCTTGGAGGCCCACCCAGCAAACTATAGGGGATGCCTTGTAGCTAAGGAACTGCAAAAACGTAGAAATATGAACATCAACAACAACTTGAAGAATTCTGAACGGCCACCGAGGAAATTCACCTCGAGAATAGTCTCAAAAGATGTAACATACAGGGCCGTTCTCCAAACGAAAACTGATGACGGTGGCACGAGCAATAAAACAAGGGCCAGTGACGTGAATGTTTTGTATAAAATGCAAAATATGATGCAGAACATGCTAGATATGATGGACAAAATCTCTCATAGATTGAGTATTTTAGAGAGCGAAGGGAAAAAATCGAATACCAAAAGACCTGGTAAATGATGGCACGAGGTAATTTTAAAATAGCAACATGGAATTGCAATGGCATTGCAAATAAAAAGGACATGCTTGAAGTTTTTCTGCATACACAGAATATAGACGCCTCGCAACTGAAACACATATGACCTTAAGAGGCAGGATTCGGTTTCCAGGTTATAGAATTTACAACTCGAACCATCCTAGAAATATAGCGAAGGGCGGAACGGCGATAATAATAAAAGAAAATGTGGTGCATTGTGATCTGCACCAGATGCAAACCGAGGGAATGCAAATGACAGCGGTTCAGATCACTTCGACTAAGCAGAAATTTAGAGTGTCTGCATTATATTGTCACCCTAGATTTAAAATTATGGCAGAAATGTTTCAATGCGTTCTGACAGACCTAGGCGATAGATTTATATTGGGGGGTGACTTTAACGCAAGCACACTGATTGGGGTTCAAGGCATACTTCAACTAGAGGAAGCGAACTTAGGACAGCAATTGGCGGCACGAGGTGCCTTTTTCACTCTGCGAAGCCAACGTATTGGCCAACCGATGTTAATAAGTGTCCAGATTTAATAGATTTCTTTATAACAAAACGGATTGCGAAAAATTTCATCGAGGTACATGATAACTACGATCTTGACTCCGATCATTTGTACTTAAGGAAAATATAGTTATGAAAAGAGCGAAACCTGCGCTGACAAATGGAACTGCAGATTGGTCAAGATCTCGCTTAGAGATTGAACGACAAATAGATCTAAGGAAAAGAATAAGAACGACCCAGCACATAGATGAGGAGGCCGAAAACTTTACTAAAATTATTCAAAAATTATTAGGAAGGGGGGCATTAACTATCCCCCACATATACTAGCAAAAGTAAAACGAAGCAGGCGGTCGAGAAAAAGGTGGCAGCAAACGCGTGATCCTGCTGATAAAAAACCAGATATAATCGTGAATCGCAGCAACTAAGACGCTGTATTAGAAAATACAAAGAGGATTCGGTTGCTGATTATGTTCAAAATTTGACGGCGTGTGAGAAAACCAATTACTCACTGTGGAGGGCAACAATGAAAATGAAGCAACCTACCAAACAACTCGCTCCTATTAAAAACAAAGATGGAACGTGGGCAAAAACTGACAAGGACAAGGCAAATGCGTTTGCGGATCATTTGGCCGATATATTCTGCTCGCATGACAGCCGGAGCGTGTATAAAATGAGGAATGTGCTTTTGTTGGGGACAGCGTGACTATCCCCAAGAAAAGAGATGTTATAAAAGAAATTAGGGCTCTTAAACCTAGGAAGGCCCCAGGATTTGACCTAATAACGGCCGATATTTTGCTCTTAAACCTAGGAAGGCCCCAGGATTTGACCTAATAACGGCCGATATTTTGAAAGAATTACCCAAAAGGGGTATAACGATGCTTACGCGCCTAATAAATGCGTGTATAAGGTTCAATTACGTGCCTGAAATTTGGGAAGTTGCAAAGATAATCATGCTGCACAACTTATCATGCTGGACGACTTCTTATAGACCAATCTCTTTGTTGCCAATGATTTCAAAACTACTAGAGAAACTTTTATTGAGAAGACTCCAGCCTATAATTGAAAGTAAAAGGTTAATCCCGAATCATCAATTTGGTTTTCGCCGCAACCACTCAACCATAGATCAGATTCATAGAATAACTGACCTAATAGAAAATTCACTGGAAGAAAAAGCAGTATGTTCTATCATATTTTTGGACGTAGCCCAGGCCTTCGATAAGGTTTGGCATTGTGGATTATTAAAAAAATTTAGGCGATTACTACCAAGGCAGTATGTTGACCTGCTCGAATCTTACCTGAATAATAGGGTATTTCGAGTTAAACAGGAAGAGGAGTACTCTTTGCTTAGGGATATCAAATCGGGGGTACCACAGGGGAGTATATTGGGCCCGATATTATACTTGTTATACACGTGTGATATTCCTGAATCGAAGGAGTGACAACAGCTACATTTGCTGATGATACAGCAGTTATCGCAATTCGACGAAATGATTCTACACAAAAATTGCAAAGGGCCAGTGATGAGAACTCAAAATGGACTAGAAAAAGGAATATAAAACTTAAAGGGGTGGAATCAGTACATGTAAATTTCACTAATAGGAAAATTGACAATTTACTTTCGGTTCAAATAAATGGCGTCTTGATTCCGTCCGCAAACACGGCGAAGTATTTGGGAATGACGTTGGACGCGAAGCTCAGACGGAAGGAGCACATAAAGAAAGAGAGATCTCAACTAGAGGAGGAATACAGAAAGTTTGAATGGCTTTTGGGGAGGCGTTCGAAATTGACAATATACAACAAAGTTTTGATATATAATCAAATATTTAAGCCTGTCTGGGCTTACGGTATTCAGTTGTGGGGCTGCGCTGCGCAGACTCATATCCAATCTATACAGAGATTTCAAAATAGGATATTACGGGACATTGTAAACGGCCCTTGGTATGTCCGTAATGCCGATATACACAGGGATCTCACGATCCTAAGTGTCACAGACGAAATTAAAAAGCAAGCAGCCAATCATAAAATGCGTTTATCCAATCATGTCAACATCGAGGCGGCTCGATTGGTTGACAATCAAAACTTTGTTAGAAGACTTAAACGACGAGACCTCTCGAGTTAGTTTAAAGTTTTTATCTGGAACAATGAGTACTTAGTACACTATTGTGCCAGATCAAAAGCTTGTAAATAATCAAAAAAGTTAGAGCAAAATTAATGGTTAGTCGTTCCGACTAGTTTTATAGTTTATTTTGAGGAGGGTGTTTTTTAGTGGATTAAAGTTCCACACTTTTGCTTTTCGTCTGGCAGAGTCTTTCGAGATTTTTCACCCTTCCTCTCGGTAAATAAAAAAAAAAAACAAAAAAAAAAAAAAAAAACAAATGCCGACGGAAACGTTTTTACTTGTTTTTATTTCATTCCACCACGCTTGACAAATAGCTGAGATGATTTATTTTGATCGATTTTGCTATACGGCAACACCAATCCAACTAAACGAAAGCTATTGAACGAATCTTTTTTGTCTGCAAAATGTCAATCTTTGATTTATAAAAATAAACAAGTGAAATGTGGTGTAGCGTTCAAAGTTTTTTGTTTTTTACAAAATTAGAAAAATTATGGAACAAAAGTTCCATAAAGATTATAAAATTAAAAAAAAACAAGTACGAAATCATACCACGAAAGAAGGACTGAATGCGTTGGACCAATATATCCAGGATTGAATATATTGCAGATTCAACAGGTAAGTTGAAATTTCCTTTGTATTTGATTAAATATATGTATGTTATGTGCTTTAATTAGCTTCAATTTTAGGTTCAGATGAAAACTTGCGCAGTTGGATGCCTATTGAATTCATCAGATAAGTACAATCATGTTATTGTTGTGAATTTTGTATTCTTTTTTGTTTGTTTTTCTGTTTAGGAAATGATCTGTGCCTGTGACGTCGCGACGGAACATTCTCCCAGCCTTGGCATCTGTGGCTGAAGATGACAAAAAGATGTGTTGATGTTTTTCTAAAGTTATCCATGTTGTAATGGTAATCGATAAGCATATCATTTCCAATCGATAATGTTTTGAACATAACTATTTTCCATATTCTAAAGTAGCATCCTTTTAGGTTTTTAGGTTCTAACATCTGTAAAAAGGATAGAAGGTTATAGCGCCTCAGCTCGCTTTCCAGAAATCCAGGATGTGGAAATGGGGAAGGAGAAAAAAAAAGATCAATTAATAATCGGAAAATTTTGATCAAATCAAAAAAGTTAAAATTAAATATATGTATAGATATATTTAAGTGTAGATTCGCAAATTTTATATTAGTTGCATCTTCTAGTACTAAGTGTAGATTCGCAAATTTTGTATTAGGTGTTCTCCTAGTATTAAGTGTAGATTCGCAAATTTTGTATTAGGTATTCTCCTAATATTAAGTGTAGATTCGCAAATTTTGTATTAGGTGTTCTCCTAGTATTCAGTGTAGTGCTCGACGTAGATAGTGTATATACAGTACGCTATAATGTAAACACATAGTTCCCACATAGCGCAGATATGTAATTTCGATATAGTGTAGATACATGATTTCGAAATAGTGTAGGTGCATAAATTTGATATAGTGTAGGTGCACAATTTGGATATAAAATTCCGATGTAGCGTAGGTATATAGTTTCAACATAGTGCAGGTGCATAATTTACGTTCGTGAACTTTTTTTTTTCGTACGATAAATCCTTCTCGATTAATCGATGCGATGTTTCAGTTTTATTCGGCCCTGAATGTATTGGTAGCAGGCAAGCCTTCACTATTGAACGTTTTAGTATTCCATTCTTCGTCTTGATTGTAACCACTCGAACTAGTCCATCTGGATTGGGGTGAGTTTCGATGATGCGACCCATCAGCCACCTGCTTGGGGGTAAATTTTCATTTTTTAGTAGGACTAAGTCTCCCAATTGCATATTGTCATGCTTTTTAGTCCATTTTGGACGTTGTTACAATGTGCATAAATATTCGCGGCCCCAACGGGTCCAAAAGGTTTGATAAAGCTTTTGAAGCTGTTGCCATCTGTTCAGCCGATTTTCAGCAAGATCTAAGATTGAAGGTTCAGAGGACGTAACAATTACGTCGTCAATCAAAAAATGCCCAGGTGTTAGAGCCGAATAATCTTCTGAGTTTAGACGGGTTTCAATTTGAGCTAGAACAGCTGTCAATTCTTCATAAGTTAATTTAATATTGCCGAGTACTCTCCTTAAGTGTTGCTTGGTAGACCATCCGTTTTATTAATTTTGCTAGCAATGCTGCCCCACTTAGCTCTATTCTTGGTAAGGAAATCGTCTTTATTGGAGCTACTTTTGACTTTGCCGTCACCAGACTAATTTTTCTGTTACCACTTTCGTTTGTGACTACCAAATAGACCACTGCCGCATACGCTTTAATTGACGCATCGCAAAAACCATGTAGTTCTATTTTACATGCTGTCGAGGTGTAACTGAACCATCTAGTAATCTTGATCTTTTCCAATTCTAGAAGACTGGACCTGTAGTTCTGCCATTAATCCTGTAGTGTCTTTTCCAAATCATCCTCCCAGCTCGAACTAGACAGCCATAATTTCCGTATCATATCTTGGCCAAAATGATAGAGGATGCCAGCCAACCAAGGGGATCGAACAACTCAGACACTTCTGATAGAACTGATCGCCCGGTCCATTTCGAGGCTCTATCCTCCAATTTCGTAATTTTATGCGAAAAGCAATCATTAGCTGGGTCCAATTGCACTCCCAGCGTCTTTACCGTTTCTGCATCCTCTATTTGTAAAGGCCATTCATTTTCTCAGTGCTCCTTAGGAACCACCTTCAGTAATGGTGCCGCATTTGATGACGACTTACGTAACGAAAATCTACCCGAAGCCATCTTGTTGATGAGTTGTTTCTGAAGTTGTAGTGTTTCTTCAAGTGAATCTGCGCCAGATAGCAAATCGTCAACATAAAAGGACTCTAACGTTGCCTGCGATGCCAAAGGATATCTGATCCTTTCATCTGTAGCCAGCTGCATTACCACTCGCGTAGCTAAAAAGGGTGCGGATTTATTGCCAAAAGTCACGGTAGTTAATTTATAATCACAAATAGGTTGTTTAGTTGATTCTCGCCAAACTATTCGCTGCTAATCGGTGTGTTTAGGTGCAAGTTTGATTTGTCTATAAGGCAACTTTATATTTTCGAAATCGGAGCAAAAGAGTGGCGAAGTCGTCTTGGATGAGTGGACCTTCATCAAATTGTCATTCAAGGATGAGCCTTTGGATGTGGGTCGCGACGCATCGAAAACAACTCTCAATTTCGTGGTGGAGCTACTCTCCTTGATGGCACCTTGATGTGGTAAATAATTGGAAATGATCTTTTGATTTTTATTTCTCAACTCGATTGATTCCACCTTTTGCATATGATTCATGTTGCTATACTCATTAATACATTTGATATATTCCTTTTAGAATTGTTGATTTTTGCAGAACTGCTTTTCCATACCAAAGAGTCTGGCAACTGCAATGTGTCTCGAACTTCCAATCTCAATTGGGTCTTCTTCTATGAGTGGTAACTCCACCTGTTATCGTCCATCTGCAGCCCTTGAGAGTGCACTGCAAAAATGTTTCTCGCTTGCTAGCTCTTCTTCAGTCATCATTTTATTTTCCGATATTTCCTCAGGTTTCCAGAACCTTTTCAGAGTTTCATTTAAACCCGACTGCATGTGGAAGTTGTTTATCATTATTGCTGGAACATCGTGTAGCTTAACAGCTCCGAACAGGATCTAGCCGAAAGTCGTGTTCTGGGCAATCGGTCCGCCAAACGGACCCTTCCTCAAACCGTCTAGTATTATTTGGCCAAAAACGTCAGCACCGTTGAGTACGTCTATTTTTCCCATCTTGAAATATTCATGGTCAGCTAAAGTTAATTCATTCAGGTGTGGCCACACTTGCACGAAGATGTCTCGCTCTGGTAACAAGTTCGTCAATTTTTTAAGCACTAAACCCAACACCTGTACTCGTGTAGAGCCTTTTGCACTTTCAATTATTACTTTGACCCTAGCCAATGATTGGCCAATATTTGTTTGTGATACACCGTGTATGTCAGCGACTATCCTCTCCTTCTTTAAACTTAAGCCTTGCACCAGTGACGCCCTAGCTCTTTGATATCGGTCCGTAGTAGGTGAAACAACTCTGATATATGCTGTAGCTAGCAAGACCTGTTGTCTGGAATTGACAGCCGTGCCGTTATGACTGCCGGGTACAAAAACCGGTGCTAAAGTGAACAACCCTGGCGCCACCGCTGCTACTTGTTGTGGAGTATGTGCGGCGTGGTGCGCATGTACTTGTGGTGCAGTTGTAACTTGTGATGAGGTTCGCTCTCCTTCATCTTATCGGTGTAGTAATGTATGGTGACGTTTACGAGACCTGTAGCAGCTCTGTTGGCTCGGGCAAGTGGTCATCATGTGTCCAGGCTTCAAGCAATTTATGCAAAACCCCTTCTTGACACTTTCTTACACTTTCTTATCGTATGTGCGGCTCGACAGAACGGACATGAAGCACCATTACTCGTTGACCCAGATGAAGCAACATGAAATGAAGTGCTGTTTCTATTCCTGGTTGAGTCGTTCTGTACTTGACTCCTTGAGCCTACAAATCATTTTCTAATTGCTATGGACTCCAATGTGCGGAATCTTGTTTCTAAACAATTTTTCAGCTGTCGCTAAGTTGGAAGCTGCTTTTCGACGTTCCCAAAACTGATGCGTTTCCATTGATAGCTTCTAGACTATGAGGTACACTGTAATTGGATCCCAGCCTTTCACATCAATTTGTACATTTGTTTTTTTAATTGGTGTGAGAAAAAAAAAAAAAAATTTTTTAAATTGTACATTTGTGTTGTAAACATTCATTAGTTGTATCTAAAAGCTTCCTTATAGCAATGGCTGATTCCTGGTGCACGATCCCCTGGCCAGGGAGCCGTTTCAATAGCATGTTGACTAGCACATGCTATGACAGCATGTTGAATGCAGCCATATACTTGTCCTCTGTTACCTGAAAAGCTCTCAGCAATTGTTCGGGCTCCCCAATAAGATGCACCTTTAGATATTATAATTTTTGTACGACCAGAAGAGTTTCATTATTGTGGATCAGGGACCTAAAAAGGTCGTAAAAGAAAGGCCATTTCTGGTAATCACCATCAAATTTCGCCAGCGTAATCTTTGGCAGGTTTATCGCCACACTTGAAATCTCCTTTCTTTAATTTAATTCAAAATTCTTTAACGTCAAATTCTTTAACGTCAAAATTTTGATTTTAGTCTGCAAACTGTCTGAAACTAAAACTTTTACGGACAGAAATCTAGTAAACTTTTTACCCCTAATTGACTTTGAATTTTGATCATCCGTAAACGTCAAAACAAAAAAAAAATTTTTTTTAGATTTAAAATAATTTTATACTTACATACTCGTATTAAAAATTAACAATAAAAATATTTATATTATTTTTAACGTAATGATAGTCACTCAACACATCAAATTTATTTACTGAATTACTACGTCAGACTGTCTGCATGTAAAAAAAAAAAACTACAATTTTGACGCTTAATTGACTTTTTTTAAACGTTTAAGAAGTTAAACTTTGACTGAGAGTAAAAACGTAGTAGAGTATCCGTAAACTCAGACAACTCAGATTTTGTAAAATTTGACGTTTAAGAATTTACCACTACTTTCAAATCCGACTCCTTGTTAGGGAGTTTGGTTGAACCTTTCGACTAGTTTTGAAGAGCGTCTTTATTTCATTAAAAACGCTGTTCTCGAGGTACGGCCACTTCGCGCTCTCTGCATTCCTATCTGTGTAAGAGGCCACCATCTGTCGATGACGCTTCTTTATCTCATTATAAAGGGTCTCTATATCGTTCAAAACTTCTTGATAACATGCCTTTGGTTTATCTACTCTTTTGTCCCTAGAAAAATGAGTCACTATCTCCTCTATCAGGAATCTATCCGTCAATTGCAATTTAATTAACTTGTCCATGCTAATCCTTATGTATTTAATCTATATATTTATAAATAAGGTTCCAAATACCCAGATCACCTCCGTACCAACTAGATTCCAAACAAATCAAGGTCAAAAAACTCGGAATCCAGCACAGGCAAATAAAAATACGATTTAAACACTCAAAATAATGTCTTTATTTTCAAATATATACATATATTTTTCTTATCTATCTTTCTTAAAATGTTTTATAATTAATAAATTAAAACCAGTGTCAAATAGTTTTTTAAATATTAATTTAATTCAATTTGAAGTTTTATTTGCAAAGCACCATGCAAGTGTTCATTAAAAAAATCTTTAATATATTTTAATATAATTTGATATTAATAATAAATAATGCTTTATTACGTCCAAAAAAAAATTTTTTTGTTTTAAGCGCCTAAGAAGAGGACAAAAACGTATTAAAAAAATGTAGTTACAAAAAACTTTCGTTCCAAATGTCTACCATCAAATTTATTCTTTCCAAACTCTATTTAAACGGCCAAAAAGAATTATTTTAGAAAGATCCAGTCAAATCAAATCCGCCACCAAAATTTGTTTCAAAAAAAATTTAAACAATTTATGTAAAATATTTTCAGAAAGAAAGAAATTTATATTGAAAATCTCCAGTTACTTTCCATGTAATTTAAAATAAATAATAGAAAAAATGAAACGAACTCACCATAATCTCTTTTTACCTCTTTTCTAGGTCCAATCCTTGTTTTCAATTGGCGCAAGTCGCGAGACCGATACTGAAACCGCTTTTCACTTCTACACTACAAAATAAATATTGTTCAAAGTTTTCTCTTATTCTTTTTATGTTCTACACCATATATATTATAGTTTTCCTTTTATTTCTTTTTTTTTGCACCGCGAAGAAATTCCACCACTGGTCTCTTCAATATTTCGCACCAATAGTTTTGCAATTTGTTATGTGTTTTTTGTTTGTTTTCACTAAATCCTTTTCATTTATATAAACTTAGCTTTCTTTTTTTACACTAGAGTACTTTATATTCTAGTTTTTTTTGTTTTAAATCCAATTTTTTTGTGTTTCTTCTCTTTTTATTTTCTAATGCCGCGAATTTGCAATACATATCCGGCTCGAATTACCAAAAAATGTTAGGCGGTGATTTGCGCTAACATTTTATACAAGAACCACCAATACAAACCAGTATTTTATTATTGCCTCTTTCCAACCGCAACTTTATTATTTTCCCTTTTTTTATATATAGAATAATTATAAAAAAAAAAACAATTTCACTTTTTTTTTTCTTTGCAATTCATGTATTAACAATTTATTGAATTCATTAACAAAATTTACTTTTCTTTGACTATGACTTTATATAAACTAAGTATATAATTTCAATATAAAATTTAAATTTATAAGCTCGATGCGACGGTTTTTCTAATACTACGTTCTTGATCTTGAATTTTCCATCCTATTTAAAGATCCAGAAAAGATTTATCCAAACGGTTGTGCAACGGTGATACACCTAGCCAGTCCCACTTTTTTGGTTGATAATGTTTTCTTGTATATAGAACAGATGACACAGTTCAATTAACTTAAAAATACAATGTAATTTTATATACATACATTGTATATAAAATTACATGCCGTGTTGTTGTACGAGGGTCACTATTTATATTTCGGGTCTAGCAATAAAAAACAAACATTTATCATTGGAAATGGTTTTATTGTTTTTCAAAATATTCCCCATGAAGATCAATACACTTTTGCATGCGCTGAAACCAATTTTCGTAGCACTTTTTCCACTCCGATTGAGACACCTCCAAAACATGGTTTTTGAACGCATCGACTGCTTCGCCGGCGCTTGTTTGTTTTCCTTATTTCGGCAAACAGATGGTGGTGTACCATTCAGAATTGACCGTCCTACGTTCCACTAAAGGTACTGTGGCCACATGACCGGTTATACCAAAAAAAAAACGCGATCATTTGCTTCGATGTGCTTCTTCCACGAACAACTTTTGTTGGATTTGGCTCGTCTTGGAACACCCATACGGTCGATTGCTGTTTCGTTTCGGGCTCATATGCATAGATCCATGATTCATCACCTATGACTATCTTATAAACGTCTTTTGACGCACCGCGATTGAATTTTTTCAACATTTCTTTGCTCCAATCGACACGAGCCTTCTTTTGTGTAATCGTCAAATTTTTTGGGATCCATCGACAATACACCTTTTTCACTGCAAGATGTTCATGCAATATCTTATGTACGCTGGTGGAACTAATGCCCAAGGATGCCTCAATCTCACAGTATGTCACATGCCGGTCCATCATTATCATTTCGCGCGCAGCATCGATGGTTTCCGGCAAAACGACCGAAATTGGCCGACCTTCACGAAATTCATCCTGGAGCGAACGGCGTAAGAAACCAAACTCTTGATACCAGCGATTTACAGTGGTTTTTGATGGTGCTTCATCACCAAAAGTCGAAACAAGTTGATCGAGACACTCTTGTCTCGATAATCCGCGCCGAAAATCGTAAAAAATCATCGCACGAAAATTTTCACGGAACAATTCCATTTTTTGACCGAGATGAATTTTTCAAGTTACTGTAAACAAAACAATTCGCGCTCGAATGACAAAACGTTCTGAGTGAAGTTGTCCTAAAAAATGTCAAACTTTCCAATGGAAGTGTCAGATTGCACCTGGCAGCCAAGTATTGCCAGGACCCGAAATATAAATAGTGACCCTCGTAACAATTTGATATTATTATATACAATATTTCCCGTTTTCATATATTTTTCATTTCATTCGCTCGTTCTTTTTTATTTCACTACACTTGACAAATAGCTGAGATGATTTATTTAGATCGATTTTGCCATGCGGCAGCACCAACCCAACTGAACGAAAGCTATTGAACGAATCTTTTTTGTCTAGTCGAATTTGGTGTAGTGTTCAAAGTTTTTTTTTATACAAAATTAGAAAAATTATGGAACAAAAATTCCATAAAGATTATAAAATTAATATAAAACAACTACGAGATCACACCACGAACGAAGGACTGACTGCGTTGGGCCAAAATACCCAGGATTGAAGTGATTGTAAACCTGCAATATATTCAACAGGTAAGTTGAAATTTTCTCTTATATTTGATCAAATATAATATGTATGTTATGTGCTTTAATTAGCTTCAATTTTAGGTTCAGATGAAAACTTGCGCAGTTGGATGCCTATTGCATTCATCAGATAACTACAATGATGTTATTGTTGTGAATTTTGTATTCTTTGTTGTTTTTTTTTCTTTTTAGGAAATGATCTGTGCCTGTAACGTCACGACGAACAGAAGTCACTAATAGTTAAGTCCTTGTGTTAATATCATAGCACCTAAAATTGAGTTTTGATCTTCTTATAGTTCGTGAATCCATAGGATAACTGAAATAACGGCAGCCACAAGAGGGTTTTCAGATTCTGTAGTATTCTGAATGCTAACACTTAATTCTCTAAATCTTTCATCAGATAGAAACATAATTTTTTAAATAGTTCCGCGTGGTATAACTACTTAATTTAAATCATCAATTTTATTTTCCAGTTCTTTAGCTGTATCCTAATGTAGGTTGCCACACGAAATATTCAACAGCTTTCCAACAAAATTGACGCGCTCGTTCTAATACCGATCCATCACCTGCTTTGCCGTAACGATGAAATCCGCTTAGAAATAAGTTGGTTTAGTACCTGGCATTGACCTTTTAGTTCTAGTCGCGGAATTGAAAGTTTTTGTTAAGACGATCTTGATGTAGTCGTGAGTATACTAATGCAGCATATGCTCTACCAGAAGCATCACAGAACCCACGAAATTCAATTGGCTTGGTTGATAAATTGCAAATGGTTTCGAAAATTGATATATTTTTCATGTAGACGTGATGGTAATAGGTCATTCCAATCAACGCTTTTATTCCATATGTTTTGTAGAATCATTTTTACGGTTAATACAACGGGTGCTATCCACCCAAATGGGTCGAAAATTGTGTAAATTTCGGAGAGTACAACCCTTTTTGTGATAAATTTTGATTTGTTCCGAAGGTCGATTATTATCCTAAATTTGTGTTTTAGCTGCCATCGCATTTCTAATATTTTATGTGAGTCAGTTTGTGTATTTCCCATTTTAACGCATTTTGTGGGTATCGTATTTTTTACGAGTTTTGTGCTGTTACCTGCCCATTTGTGAATTATAAAGCCAGCGCTTTTTAGGATGTTTACAAGCTGTAATTTGCCTTGTGCGGCTTGTTGAACTGTATCACTTCGTGACATTATATCATCTACATACTTATCGGTGTGTAAGATTTTTGCTCCCACTGGAAACTTATTTTGTTAGTACCGGTTTTATTGCTAAATATGGAGCTGCAACTGTTCTGTAGGTGACTGTATTTAACGTATACTCTTGAATCGGATCATTTGGTGAAAATATCGAGACAATTTTTTGTTTTTTTGTT